AAGGTATATTTCAGAGAAAGAGAAGAGGGAGAGAAAATCAGCTTCAGTCACAGTCCAAAGATGGGGCCTTATTCCTCAGAAGACAGAAGTAGGCCAGCGGAGCACAAATAAACAATTTGCAAGAATTTCCCAGTGTTGTAGAATGAACTCTAGGGCTGGGATGCTCCCTGGGGGAGGCATTTGCCACACATTTGTCAAGCCTCTGCATGACCCCGTAACCCATGGAGAAGAGAGATTGAGGGAGAGAACAACTCCTCAGTTTTCCTCTGGCATCCACAAGTCCGTGGTGGCAAGTGTACACACACACACACACACACACACACACACACACACACAAATGCACACACAGTGCACACACATAATTTGTTTTTAAGAGTAACAATAAACAATGAAAAATGAGCAATGGAATCTCTAGACGGAAAGGCTCCCCTCAATGCTTAACAATATGATTTTTATGAAAAAACTTTGAGGCATATGATGTCATGTTCTATTTTCACTAAAAATTTAAAAAAAAAAAAGAAAAAAGTTTTGAAGTAAACTACTGTGTGCACAAAAAAAAATACACAGGGGAAAAAAAGTGAGGACCTAGAGAGATGGCCCAGAAGTTAAGAATACTTGCTGCCCTTGCAAAGGAACAGAGTTTGGTTCCTACCACCTTCTTTCGACAGCTCCTGAGCTACCTATAACTCCAACTCCAGAGGATCTACCACCTCCTTCTGGCCTCCCCCAGCACCCCCACAAACGGCATGCACATGCACGTTCACATAATTAAAAATAAAACAAAAAAGTCTGTAAGTGGGCTTACAGTTTACATTTTTAACCAACTCACTATATCTCCTCAATGGAAGCTGTTGTACTGACCCCACTGGCCATCCGGTCAGCCGATCGGTGTGTAGGCAGAATGTGTGGTTGACAGATAAAAATGCCTACTCTAATGTGAACCATACTTTGCTAGGTGCCAGCCTAGCAAATTATTAGATCTGCCTTAAAATGGCCTTTCACTGGAGAGAAGACAAAAGATACATAAACAAATGAAAGGCACGGAAGTGGAAAATGTCCCATTCCATGAGAAAAGCCAAGTATCTGGATCTTCAGGGATTGTTTTGGGGTGAAAGGCATCAGGGAATCGTGAGGTGAATCTCAAACTTGGAAAAGCACAGGTTGGAGATGGAGAAGCAACAGTTTGTGCACAGGCGGCTGTTGTTCTACACATTTGTGTCACGAGAAAGCCAGCTACAGCTAACTGTGATGCGCCTGTATTTGCTGACTCAGCTGAACACGAAGTAAGCTGGCAGGTCTAGAGTCTTCAATTCTGTCCACGTCATGAAAGAAGCAGAAATCAGTAGGAGAAAAAGTCGAGCAGAGGACAGTAAAAGTGTAGCGTGCGGTTCTGTAAACAATGCTTCACAAAAATAATAAATAAAACAATAATAAACCAATGAGACAACACCAGCAAGGCGGGTGGATCTCTGTTAGTTTGAGGCCGGTCTGGTCTACACAGCAAGCTCCTAGACCAGCTAAGGAGATGTAGTGAGACTCGCTTCGAAGAGAGGATAAATAAATAAATATATAAATATGTAAGTGTAAGTATTAGGGAAGTTGGTTATGGAGTATTTATTACATTGGCTGGGACTCAGGAGATGTCTCAGCGGACAATGTGTTTGATGTTCCGGCCTGAGGGCCTGAATTCAGATTCCCAAGCATAAAGGCAGGTGCCACAGCACATGTCTGTAACCCCAGTCCAGGGTGGGGCTGGGGGTGAAAAGCTGGGTGGGGGCTCTCTGGCCACCCAGTCTAGCTGAAATGGCAATCTCCAGACTCAGTGAGAAATTATCTGGAGAAATAACATGGAAAAATAAAGCAGAGGAGGCCATCCAAAATAAGTCCCGGGCCTGTGTGTGCCTATGGGCTCAGAGACGCACACTGCCATGGGTCATCAGCGGTAAACTTCTTGAGGGCAACGGTGGAATTACGGGCATGAAATAGCACACCCTTGTTCTAAGATGATGCTAGGAATGATAGCAACAACCGAATCAACAGATACAGGTGCATCGCAGATATGCATCTGTGCAAGGGGAGGAATGCACGCAAACAGGGCCATAGCACGGAGCAGGTGGGGTTAAATGAGCAGTTAAATGGGATTCTTTGAACTGTGGTTGATGGTTTGGTTTTGGTTTTTTGTCCCCCCAAACTTCCTTCTAGCCTTAAAAGCTTTCAGGGAAAAGAAAAGAAAGAAAGAAAGAAAGAAAGAAAGAAAGAAAGAAAGAAAGAAAGAAAGAAAGAA